GTGAAAGTGTAATTTTGTGAATAAAATGTTCCTACTATAAAGAATATGTCAGTTACTGTAATTGCCCAGGGGCTGCCTCTACTTGACATGCAAAGTGCATAGTTTATGCCCTTTTATTTTTTGAAAATAATTAGCAGCATGAAATCTACTTGGAAGTCCCTAGCCAGCAATATCTATCTCAGGGGCTAGTACTGGTTCCAGTCCTGTTTAACATCATTAATAATGTAGATGGTGGTGTCTCAGCAAATTTGCTGATGATAGAGAATTGAAAGTTGTGGCTGATGCACCAGAGGGTTGTGCATCATTTGAAGGACTCAGTGAGCTGGAGAAATAGGCTGACAGGAACCTCGTTAAGTTCAACAAAGTAAAGTGCAAAGTCCTGCACCTGAGGATGAACAACCAATACATGCTGGGAGCTAACAATCTGGAAAGCAGCTTTGCAGAAATGGTCCTGCAGGTCCTGGTGGACACTAGGTTGAACATGAGCCAGCACTGTGCCCTTGCAGCAAAGGATATTAATGGTGTCCTGGGCTGCAATGGGACAAGTGTCACCAGCAGGTTGAAGGAGGTGATCTTTCCTCTCCATTCAACACTGGTGAGGCCACACTTGGGACTACTGTGCCTAGTTCTGGGCTCCCCAGGACAGGAGAGAAATGGAGCTACTGAAGGTAGACGAGTGAAGGGCCATGGAGGTGATGAATAGACTGGAGCATCTGTACTGTGGGGAAAGTTGAGTGAACTAAGATTGTTCAGCCTGGAGAAGAGAAGGCTCCGGGGGTGATCTCATCAATGGGATAAATACCTAAAGGGGGGGTGGGAGTGTTAAGATGAAGGTAGTCCCAGAGGCAATGGGCACAAATTGAAACATGGGAGGTTCAGGGAGCATTTACTGTGAGGGGCATTCATGCAGGTCGCCGTTACGTGATTTAAAGGTTTCTCATGAACTGCAGTCACATGTAGGCAGATACTTGCCAAACTTTCTTTGTCTGCTTTTAGTTAGATAATGAATTGTGGAGCTTTTTATAAATCCCTTACTTTTTATAACATACTTTCCTTTGGTAATATATGTGATACAGTATGCAAGGTATTTTTAAGCTTTTCATCCTTCTTGCTTTATGTTTTATGAAATCCATTATTCAGAAGGAAAAAATGAGCTGCTACAAATGCCCCCTGAAGTTGGTAGTTGTAGTAAGCTGTGCACTGATCGCCCTTAATTGTCAAATAATCAGAAATTTATGTGTGGAATAAATAGCTTGGACAATCTATTTCTTCGTTCTCTGGGAACTCTTTTATATTGTTGGAGACCCAGTTTTTGAGAGGAGTACTCTCACTACTTTCTTTTCCTTTAGTACTGGGAAATAAGAATTCTGAGGACTAATGGCTGGCTGTTGGTAATAAAAGCCAAATCAAGCTTATGAATCTAGTTCAGTAGGTGCTAGAGGTAGTGACTAGCTTCTGATTTACATCTGAATAATTGTTCTTTCCAAAGATAGATTGCCAGAGGTCACTGAAGTAAGAAGAAAGATGAAATATAGGGACTTTTTTCAATGTTATCCAGGTACAGGAGGGCACCAGAAGAATAGTAATGGCAGTTAAGATGACTGTCATTTTAGTCTTTCATATCGAATACTTGAAAAGACATACTTTGAAGTGGGGCCTCATTTGAATGTTCCTAAATACCAACTTCTGACTGCTGTGGTTAGCTGAATTGAAAGCACTTGTCTTTGTGTGTGCAAGAGTATGTCAAAAGTAGCAGTTAATTATATTTTAGGATGATATATAATTTGTGCATTATTGAATGAAAGGTCTTCCAAGGACTTCTCTCTCCTGCTTCATGGGAATCATGAAGTGCAAGTGTTGCTGAAGTAACAATGCAGACCTTTTGCTTTAAGAGAAATCGAATCCTAAGACTGTTGGATTTCCAGATCTTTAATGATAGCTTCTATACCCAGCTATAGGAAGCAATACTGGAGGTGTTGTGCAGGAGTACAGAAAGGCTGCTAGATAGTTATGAAGAAAGTATCAAGTGTAATTGAATTTCCTCTCAGATGGTATCTTACATATCTGTAATTTTTTAAGAACTTTTTTACTGAATTAGTCAGAGGATTAAATAGTCATGTACATCTCAGGTCAGTAGAATCCAGGCAACTTCTGCTTTCTGTTTGATGAGTGTCAGTGACTGCAATAATATGAATCAGCTGTGTGGTCTTTGTGACACACATCTGAGAAACCATTTATTGATCGAATCCTCCAGACCTGGTGCCTGTATTCATATGCTGGTCTTTCAATTCATCATATAATCATCTCTAAGCAGAAGGGAAATCCCTTGTTAGTCACCAGTAGCGGGCATCATGTGGAAAGTTACTTGAAGATGAAATAACAGTTACCTGCTTCAAAAATAGTTGTGATTCTTTGAGAATGCTTCCCACATCACATGTGGTTTTATGTGCTTAAGTGTAAAGTCCTTCTCCTGTGATAGTCTGTACTGATGACAAAATCGAGGAGAGTTTATCTTCTTCTACTCTGTCTTTCAGTAATGGAGAGGAAAGCTGGAGGCATCCCAAGTCTGCTGGTCAGCCTTATCTAAAGCTACATGTAATATATATGTTTACCAGGAATGCATTCCTGAAGTTGAGCTGAAGATCCACAGTTACTATGGAGTAGGAAACAGGCCCATTTCTTTATACTGCTTATATAACATTTTCTAACTTTTCTGACTTTCTTTGAGCTTTTATGGGTTTATTTGACTTAATTAACTGTGTCATGTTACTATGTTTAGTTTCTCTTATTGAAGTTTTTTACATACCATTCATTTCTTAGTTCTTTGGTTTCCCTCTTGGTCACTTCAACTGTATTATGTCTTGACTGCCCATTAAGTAAGTGTCTTTTTATACAGGTGATATCACCTTCTGTTGTAATAACTTATTCCTCAAATAACTTAATACACAAAAATTATTTTGATCTGCTTGTCATGTTGTCTACTGTTTACCTAGTCAGGCCTCTCTTTCTACTTCTGTGATCTCGAATATAGCACTGCATTTTTGTCTTATATCTGGCTCTGTTGCTGACTTAGCACTGATGTATACTAAAACGGGCCCTTCTTTTTCGTTACTCTACATAGAACCTTCCTTTTATGTAATATCATTAAGCTTTGATGTTATATTAGAACATGAGTATTCGCTTTTCTCTGGACACTTGTTTGATATAGAGAATGGAAGTGTATCTGCAGAATAGGCAGAATGTTTTACAATACAGTAGGTCTGTGAAGTAATCCTTTATGAATTAATCGCATGAACTGGTTTGTTACTTAGAGCACTTCCTATTTTAATGGCCACACTTTGATGTACCACAGTAAAGTGCAGTTCTGTAACCTACAGTTTAACACTGCTGATTACTTAGTCTTTCTTTTTCACTACTACTAACAGCATCAATCTGTGTATATGGTCTACTTTTCTCTGTGTGTGTTACACTAGTTTGTTTTGTTCCTTTTATATATATTCACAATTCCTTTTGTAGACTTTGCTATGCATCTCGTGATTGCACATCGATAAACCCATTTCAGATCTAGCACTAATGGTTAGTAATACAATTGCCTGAGATTTATATCTGTTTACAGTGTGACAAAATGTGGAATGTTAGAGAATAAAACCATTGAGCTTCCTGGCAAAGCTTTAAAGAGGTTGGGGGTTTTTTTTACCTGTCATTCATGGCAAATGAGCCTTGCCATGTAGAATCATTGTGGAGGTCAGCTGTCTGTTTACATAATTTATAGTTCTAAAAATTTGAGTGCATACAACTAAGTTAAGGCTATGGGGCATGATCTGTCAAGCATCGTCTCTGCTTTTGTTATGAGCTGAACAGTTTTGACAGTTGTGTATTAAAATCATGCAGATAAACATGAACAAGTGCCTCTTGTGCTACAAAATTTAAATATTCCAAGAAGCTTTACCCTTGGTAACAGGTTCTAGTAACTTAGAGACTGTTTACAATCAGGAGCAATTGATAATTTATTTCTATATTGCTTTTTCTGATGCTTCACAAGAACATGTTAAAAGAACTAATTTCCTTAATTATTTTGATAGGCATGCATAGAGCTATTGCAAAGAAATCTGTATTTTGCCTTTCATTCATTGTCAACTGACACTTCAGATGATCCTTTAAAATTAATATCCTTGGGAAGCAATTATTCTAACATATGGTATCAAACCACTTTTTCTCCCTTTTAATTATAAATTTTAGTATTTCTTGATAGGAATGCTGGTCGTAATTCTTGAAAGCAAACTGATTTGTAATGCTCTGTATGTAATAGCCTACTGAAATTGTACCATAGCTAAATTTGGAAGTTACTTATCATAGGAAAAGTAGTCTGCCTTGGACTACTGCAAAAGTTGTGTAAATAGTGCTCCATATACCTACTCTCTGAGAAATGGAGCATAAATGCAGACAGTAACTGCTGGAAACTACAATTAATAGTGACCATGCCTTCATGTTCAGGCAAATTATTTTTCGTTTACTGGTGGCAAAGGCAGATTCCTTTAAATACAGTCTGCATCAGCCTTGAACTTGGATTGCAAGACTATTTGGCAGATTGGTTATGGTGACGGGGTTATGAGTTTCAGTCAGCAGCTTGGCCCTGCTGGAATGAGAGTTGTCTTCCCATATAACTAAGAAAAAGTAAATTGAGAAACAGGAGATTTTATTCCTGTTCCTCTGTCTCCTATGCTTTCTGTGGATGTATATATATGTATATGAGTAAGAGTGATGGTCTATTGAAAATGTGAGATCTGAGCATTACGTGAATGGTATGGAATAAGGGGTGGATACCGTGGGGCAACATATAGTTGCTAACTTGGGCTCTTCTAAGTGACTGCAGGTGCTTGATTATTGCAGATAGTAATCAGTAGTCTCTTTTGACACTGGAATTGATTCAGATAATCAATCAAGATCTAAATCAGCACCCAAGGGACTTTGATTTAAAGCATTTGTTATAATCTTGAAAAACATTGATAATTTTTTGTTCTTTTCTTAAAAACAGTTATATTTTCATTAGTTGTTAATCATAAAAGGATTTTGATTTGAAGCTGAAAGTAGCCTTTCATTTAATTTGATATTTGGTTTTGTTACCCAGTGAGAGACTACCTGTTTGTATACAGATTTATTCATGCTGATGATGCACATTAACATCTTGTTGGTCATGGTTTGGTGTTTTTTTGTTTTTTTTTTTTTAAAATTACGTTATCTGAAGTGCATCTGTCAGAAAGGAAAAAGATAAGCTAGGTAGCACAACTTCTAAATTTAGAACTTGTTCACTAAAGAAAGGAATTATTATTTGTAATTAATGCATTAAATTAGTCATTTTTGTTCACATTACCCTTCTAGATTATAAAAGCAGAGGACATTATCTCACACCAGATTCTCATTTGTATTTTGGCAGCAGTTTTTTTTTCTTTTTCAGTTCCAAGTAAGACTGATGAACTGGTCATTTAATTAAGAAGCTGAAACATTAAAACAAAGAAAATACATTTTTTTTTTAACATCTGAAAAAAACCCGGACTATTCCTGTCAAGAGTTGGCTTAAGATTTCAACAAGCTGTAGCCCATGTGTTCAGCTAATGAATTGCTTTTGAGTATCTTTGAAGTAGCTGCAATATACTACTGAAATATTGTTTGAGTGTAGTTTAGAACTGCAGATAGCTTGTGGTAAATGTTATGTTAAATCTAATTGAAGCTGTAAAAAAGTTTACTTCTCAAGTGAAAAATACCTTTTTTCCCCAAACTTCTTTGAGTTTGTGTGAAGAGGGAAGAAGAGAACTTAAACTTGTTGGAGATGAAGAGCAGTACTTTAAGCTGAATGTTTAAATGACTTCCCCGAGTCAGAACAGATGATAAATTAAATGCAAATCTGCCATGGTCACACGGCCTTCTGGATCTCTGCTACCTGTCACATGTACTGGCAGCATGTGTATCTGAGACTGAAAACTTTTCCACGTTCCATTAAGCTGTTAGTGGCTGCCTTATTGGAGAAAAGGGGCAATAGTGGTGACAACACCACATCTGGGAATATTAAGACACAGAGAGCTTCCAGCTATGCTAGTGTCACAGCTGATTATGGTAAGACATCTGTATTTCAACTGGGACTGCTTGTGTATGTGCCTTTTTAAACTGTTCTTTTATTTTTTGCCTAGCTCTGCTATGTATGTTTTTAGAGTTTACTCTTCAGATTTTTGTCAGAAGTCAGCAGAAGCTGGAGGAAAGGGCTTGCAAACCTATTTAGGCACAAAGTGGTATAGAAGGAGGGTCATTTTATTTTTGCCAAAGTGTTGCTGAGCAGTCACATTTTTGTCCCTCTTAGTTTTGTGAGTTTCTTCCCATAGCATGACTGTATGTTGAATAAAATGTAATTAAATGGTATTTCAGATATGTTCTTTGTGAGGCCAGTGTTAAATTAATAGGTACTTTCTTTTTCAGCTAATCTGCCTGTACCTACTATTGCTGCAATAGATGGAGCTGCATTAGGTGGTGGCCTAGAACTTGCATTAGCCTGTGATATAAGAGTGGCAGGTAGGTCTGAATCTTGCTTATAGGACATGGATTGTTAGTGTTGCAGATGGCTTGACTAATCCTTGTTTTGGCAACAATTTTATAAAACTTATTTTGTATTTGATGTTGTTTCTAACCAGTTATTTTAAAGGGATTTAGCAGAAACCTATCTAAGTACTTGCTAGTGTTTAATTTCAAACAATTTATCACTGATAGCTGGATTGTTTTCTTTACATGTTTTATTTTATTATGACATTTGTTTTACCGGTATTGCTAGAAGGGTTATTTAGTGGTTTGATACTTTATTTAGTAATTTAAGTATTCTCTTCTGTGTTTGAAGTATTCTAGATGGAGATTTGATTTTTATCTAAACAGGTTGCAGGGAAAAAGCAAAAGTTGTTAGTGAGAATATTATTACACAAGCCATTAAGCTGTTATAAAAGAAAAGTGTCAGCAGCACTTGAAAAGAGGAACCTTGACACATCCAGCTGTTAGAACCGTAAAGCCATTTGTTGAAAAGTAAATGGAAACTTGTTCCCGAACAGCTGCCAGTAACGTAGGGTATATGATGCTGTTTGACCCTTAGAAAATACTCTGTCAGCTAAAGAATTCATAATAATAATCAGATACTGAAGTCTGCCCCTTTTTGAGATCTCAGATAATAACAATCTTTTTATTTTAGTATTTTACATTTTGCAAGTAAGTCTCTTAATCACTGTAATTGATTACTTGCAATGTGAAAATTAACAAGGTACAGAGCTTGCTTTGATGGAAGTAGTTGGGTCTTTTACCAAAGGTTAAATCTATTTAAATATTTTCATAAACAAATGCTTTTTAGGTGATTTATTGTTCTTTATAAAGGAAATGTAATAAATCAACAGTCTTGTAGGTCGTTACTACATATTTTGCTAAGTTTTTTCTTATCGATCATAATAAGAACTCATTTACGTTCTGTTTTTAGCCTCTTCTGCTAAAATGGGTCTAGTTGAAACAAAGTTGGCAATCATTCCAGGTGCAGGTATGAATCTTTTCCTTTTGTTACCATGGATAACTAAATAACACATACTCTTGGCTTTTGATTTTGGATTGGTGTTTATGAATGTCTGCTTATTTTTGTATTCCTGGTAATGATCATGGCATGTTTTAAAGCTTACTCCTCCTATTACTTACCAAATATCAATAAAAACCTGTATTTCTCATTTTTAGGGAATGGCTTTGTATATTATGCTTTTAACCAGTCTTCATCAGCTAAGTCAGTATTGAGTGATTCTGTAATGGTATTTGATATCAATCAGAAGGCTAAACAATTTTTTGAAGGGTCAGACTAGGAAAAAAGATACGAGTTAACTGTGGGTGTACAAAAAGGTAATTTAAATAATCATCCACTTTTATGTAACGTCTGGTACTTTAGGATTCAAATTCTGTTTTCATGCTGCTAGCAAATTGGTTGTAAAGAGTTTAAAAACTGGAAGTATGTCTGTAAGTAGATCTTTTGTCTTACTAACATCTTTTGAGATTTTGGGGGTCAAAAACTTCTTTTCTATCTGGAAGGCCAGTTTACTGGCTTTTCCTGGTTTCACGGTGAATGAAAGTTATATAGTGATTAATGGTCAAGAAGGTCTTTGTGTTATGAAAACTTTTGTTGTTATTTTATGGATAAATCATTGTCACTTAAGGTATCTGCATTTCTGGGAAAAGGGAAGTAATGTGAAAACAAGTGCCTCTCTGTGACCCCAGTCTAACTTTGGTGTTCACTTCTGGAACTTCCTGGGGAACTTTGTAACCTTTCTTTTCTCCTTTCTGATGGGTGGAACCTATTTTGAAAGCACGGTATCCAATTTTGGTGGATACCATTGCAGGTGATGTGGAGAGGGCAGTAACATTACCCTAATAGGAGCACTCGACAATAAGTTTTAGTGAAGAAAAAGACACAAAATGATGTTATTTGTTAGCAAGATTTTCCCCTTTGACCTTCCACTCCACCAGCTGCTGCAGAATTTTGCAGGACAGTATTGGAGACACACTCTCTAGCCATAGAATCGTAGAATCATAGAATAATTAGGGTTGGAAAGGACCTTAGGATCATCAAGTTCCAACCCCCCTGCCATGGGCAGGGACACCTCACACTAAACCATGTCATCCAAGGCTCTGTCCAACCTGGCCCTGAACACCGCCAGGGATGGAGCATTCACAACTTCCCTGGGCAACCCATTCCCAGTACCTCAGCACCCGCACAGTAAAGAACTTCTTCCTTATATCCAATCTAAACTTCCCCTGTTTTAAGTTTTAACCCAAGAAATTTAGGTCAAATTCTCCATATATTCTCAGAATTCAGCTTATTTAGGTTGTTTCATGTTTCCTTGTCTTTAGTTAATTATAAATGTTTCAAACTTCTAATGCTTTCACCTTATAATGCTAGGTGCCTGACTCATGAGTTCATTCAGAATATTTTATTGCTATTCAAAGATTGAGGTTTGAATTTTTTTTTTTTTTTTTTTTGTCATCCTAAAATAATAGTTTGGGCAAACATCTTCAGCTCCTTGAAAATATGACAGATTTCACCATGTTACAGTGCTTTTAAGCTTAAAACATTTTGGAGTATGCTCATTGCCTATTTTTTCCCCTATTGCTATCAGCCTTTCTGAGTACTATTTCTGCTGAGTGTATTTGACCTTATCACAATTTTTTCCTCATCATCCTGTACTTGCACTAATCCTGTTGAGACAACAGCAGTGTTTCAGCCCTTTTTGCCTCCTGTCATGATCCAACTAGTAACTGATTGTTCTTTGTGTTAGGAGAAAGTGAAGAATGAGTGAATTAATTCTGCATATTGATTTAGAAATATCCACTTCAGCAATAAGCTTCATGCAGTAATGGAATATTTCCTTATAGTGCTTACTTCAAGCTGTTCTAAGCCAAAGGAGGACTGGACAGCGGAGCTGAAAAGAGAGCTGTATCCATTAAGAGGCCTCAGTAGGTTTCTGCTGCCATCTGGTACATCTGAAACATGCTGCAAAAGTGTGTTGCTCCTTCAGAGTAGGTTCCTGTAGTATGGCAAACTACTGCTGTTTTTATTATGCTCCATCAGCTGCCATGTGTATGTGAAAGATGTAAAGATTTTAACTTCGGTGAAAATTAAGAGGGTTATTTGGTGCTGTATGAAAAACGTCTTTATATTTGCTGTTTCTAAAACTTCAGGAAGTTACACTCAAAAAGCTGTATTAGAAGAACATTACTGGAATTTAATAGTATTAAATGGATGATATTAATGGATTCAGGGCAGATCAGGTATGATATTTTGGACCTCGTTGTATTTTGTGTTTTATTTCATCCTTTGAAACAGGATCATCTGAAGACCCAGTCTGCTGTTGTCTAGTGACTGACCAGATTTAACCTAAATTTCACAGCTGTGAGAAATTTTGCATTTGAATATGTGCAAAAGTACAGCAACCTTCTAAAGCCTAGGATTGAACAGCAGTTGGTTGGATCCCAGTTAATATACCAAAATTAATTGTTCCTTTTAAGTCTGCTGAGGGTCTCAACCAGGTAGGCATTTGTAGAGTGTACTTTATCTGTGATGTCATGTTGAGTCTCCTCAGAAAATGGATCCATTGCAGACGGCAGAGCAAGACCAACTGGGATAACAGCAGTGCCTGCTTTTACGCAACAGCTTTACACACAGACCAGCTGCTCAGGTTGTGAGGGAGAAGGATGATTCTTCTGCCTTTGGAAATTTCTGTCCAGTTCTCTCCACTATGAAAAAAACCTCAGCTGCCAGACTGTGCGCTAGGGAAAGCAGAAAATATGTTTTTCCACTTCAGTACATCCTCTTGTTTAGTAAGAAATTAAAGATTTGGAGAAATAGAGGAAGTGTGTAAGAGAGAAAATGGCTTGATAACTCAGTGCTAGTCAAGTTACCTGAGAATGAATATTGATTTTTGTTTCTTAAAGCAAGTCTGACAAGAAGTATTCAATGCATGAAGGGTTTTGTGCATCACAACAAGCATTTGTCATAGAATTGCTTATGTCAGAAAGGCTGTTTAATATCATTAGGTCAAACTGTTAACCTAACACTTCCAAATCCACCAGTAAGCTGTGTCACTAAGCACCACATCTGTGTGTATTCTAAATACCTCCAGGGATGGTGATTCAGCCACTTCCCAGGACAGCCTGTCTGAGTGCTTGACAACCCTTTCATTGAAGAAATTTTTCCTAATATCCTGTCTAAACCTCCCCTGGCACAACTTGAGGCCGTTTCCTTGTCCTGTGACTTGTTATGTGGGAGAAGAGACCAACACCCACCTCACTGCAACCTCCTTTCAGGTAGCTGTAGAGAGGGGTGAGGTCTCTCCTCAGCCTTCTTTGCTCCAGATTAAACAACCCCAGTTCTCTCAACTGTTCCTCATAAAACTTATGCTCTAAACCTTTCATCAGCTTCATAGCCCTTCCCTGGACCTGGTCCAGCACCTTAATGTCTCTCTTGTAGTGAGGGGCACAGCCTCACCAGTGCAGAGTACAGGGGGATGATCACTGCCCTGGCCCTGCCGACCACACTATTGCTGATACAGGCCAGGATGCCATTGGCCTTCTTGGTTGTCTGGGCACAAGCTGGCTCATGTTCAGCACCATCAGTCAGCACCCTCAGGTCCTTTTCACAGTATCACAGTATCACAGTATGTAAGAGATTGGAAGGGACCTCAAAAGATCATCTAGTCCAATCCCCCTGCCAGAGCAGGAACACCTAGATAAGGTTACACAGGAACGTGTCCAGGCGGGTTTTGAATGTCTCCAAAGAAGGAGATTCCACAACCTCCCTGGGCAGCCTGTTCCAGTGTTCCGTCACCCTCACTGAGAAGAAGTTTCTTCTCAGGTTTAAGTGGAACCTCTTGTGCTCCAATTTGTACCCATTGCCCCTTGTCCTTTCATTGTTTGCCACTGAGAAGAGCCTGGCTCCATCCTCGTGACACTCCCCCTTTATATATTTATATACACTAATAAGGTCACCCCTTAATCTCCTCTTCTCCAAACTATAGAGACCCAGCTCCCTCAGTCTTTCCTCATAAGGGAGATGCTCCACTCCCTTAATCATCTTAGTTGCCCTGCGCTGGACTCTCTCCAGCAGGTCCCTGTCCTTTTTAAACTGAGGGGCCCAGAACTGGACACAATATTCCAGATGAGGTCTCACCAGGGCAGAGTAGAGGGGAAGGAGGACCTCTCTCGACCTACTAACCACCCCCCTTCTAATACAACCCAGGATGCCATTGGCCTTCTTGGCCACAAGGGCACAGTGTCGGCTCATGGTCACCCTGTCGTCCACCAGGACCCCCAGGTCCCTCTCCCCTACACTGCTCTCTAACAGGTCGTTCCCCAATCTATACTGGAACCTGGGATTGTTCCTGCCCAGATGCAGGACTCTACACTTTCCCTTGTTATATTTCATCAAGTTATTCCCCGCCCAGCTCTCCAGCCTGTCCAGGTCTCTCAGGATGGCAGCACAGCCTTCTGGCGTGTCAGCCACTCCTCCCAGCTTAGTGTCATCAGCAAACTTGCTGATAGTACACTCAATTCCCTCATCTAAATTGTTGATGAATATATTAAATAATACTGGTCCCAGTACCGACCCTTGAGGCACTCCACTAGATACAGGCCTCCAACTAGACTCCGCCCCATAGACTACAACTCTCTGGCTTCTCTCCTTCAGCCAGTTCACAGTCCACCTCACTACCCGATCATCCAGACCACACTTCCTCAATTTAGCCACAAGGATGCTGTGGGAGACCGTGTCAAACGCTTTGCTGAAGTCAGGGTAGGCCACATCCACCGCTCTGCCATCATCCATCCACCGTGTTATTTCCTCATAAAAGGCTACGAGATTGGTCAAGCATGACTTCCCCTTGGTGAAGCCATGTTGACTGCCCCTCATAACCCTCTTATCCTTGATATGCCTTAAGATGGCACCAAGGATAAGGTGTTCCATCACTTTTCCAGGAATGGAGGTGAGGCTAACCGGTCTATAGT